TGTCCCTCACATTAGGAATCGTGCATGTCATTTATTTTCAATCTCAATTGTAAACTACTGAAAATAAATTAATGGAAGTGTCCAGTTTGGAGGGGGGGGGGGGCCTTGCACCCACGTGCCCCCCCCCCAGTAAACTCCGCCCATTGTAATTTACATTAATAAATTAACCCCCCCCCCCCCCCCGCCGCTCTGATCCTTCGCGTCTGATTGGCTCACAAGTGACACCATCACATTCATCCTCCGTCTATTTAGGGCCGCAAGAACACGAGGATTCCTGCACAACTCTTGCCTGTCGCCTGACGATACTGGTTGTAATTGTACACGTTGTGGTTGTCCTCTCCAGCACACCGGTTACGCGTTCGAGGGTAAACCCACGACGTTTACAACAATTGTACAAGTTGTGGGTGTCCTCTGCAACGCGTAACCGGTGTGCTAAACTAGTAACGAATTGGCATGTTTTGTTTATGTGACAAGCGTTACTAAATGGCTGTGTCGGGCGATGGCGGGTTTCACGACGCATTTATATTTACGCGATCTCACCAACCCAAAAAAACCTCTCTTACGAAATACATTATTTGCTGCTTCTGCTGCTGCTGGTGGCACGATGAGGAGAGAAACTCACTCACCGCGCTCCTCGTCATTAACACCGTGGCTTTAAAAATGAGGTGAACAAAAACGTTCCAGGAAATGGCCCTTCTACATTCTCTCGCATGGCATTTGAAAAATCGGCCGATTCAATTTAACAACCGGTTTGTTTGTTGTTGTTTAAGGCATTTGCTAAGCGAAGCCGCAGCAGCGGCGCAGCAGCGGCACAGCAAAGGTTGTAAATCGATAAAGAACAACCTCTCTTCGAATTGAGCTCAATTCTCATTAGGAGCCTTGGGAAAGAAAAAAATAAGTTTAATCACAATAATATTTAGACGAGCGGCGAGAGGTAATCCCACGCTGTTCGTCCCGACAGTCCACCCCGTGGCGTCGGGGAGTTGCTTGACGGGTCGCGCCCGTGCGCCGTGGTGCAGGCGCGCCAAGCCCATCACGGGGCAGCGGTAGCCGCGTGATGACGGACAGATCGTGACTCGCCTCGCTCACAATGGGGCACGACGGCTCCGCTCTGTCCCAATGATCTGAGTAGGTGACAGGCCGCACGCACTGCCCGTGTGCTCTGTGCGCGTGGCGTTGCAGAAGCAGAATGTTGTATTCATGCTGGAGGAATACGATGAGCTATAAAGCTCTTTTCGGGGCAGGTAAGAACGTCACAACAACACACAGTACAAAAACACGGTAGTAGTGCAAAGTACAGGAAAGGTAAACAACTCACACAAACACAAACAAATATAACTAAACCATCCCCATCCTACCATGCAAAGCCCACTGAGGTATGAACTTATTTCTCAGAAGCGACTTGGTCACAAATGATAGCTCAACAAAGTGGCTTATCATTTGCACATTTATACCGGCAAAGTAATTTAAATAATCTCAATGTATGTGTCTAAATGTGGAGGTAACAACCGGAGGACCTGGAGAAAAGAATCCACGCGACCACGGGGAGAGACATGTAAGCTCCAAATATACAGCAGAGGTCAGAGTCGGGATCGAACCCGCGACCTCCTGCAAACCAGGCGAGGTAGTTAACATCAAGAAATGACAGGAGAGTCAGCCTACAGTGCGAATGGACTATTGGCCACGGGAGGTAATGACAGGGGAGTCAGTTGTGAGTACGAAGGGACTGGTGGCTACGGGAATGATCGAGAATAGGAGCGTGGCCAGGTGATGGAAGAGGACGGTGGAGTCTGCTGGTGGAGCGAGCGGTCTAGAACCTGCGAGAAGGTTCGAGAAGGGGGGCGTGGCCTCGGTCCGTATAAAAGGGGGAGATGCGCAGGAGACTCGGGGCTGTTGTAGTGGGGGGTCTCCGCCTGTCCGAGTGAACATGACTACAATAATGGAACCATCTCAAGACAAGTGTGCCAAGTTGTCTTTACAATCACAGCACCTTCCTTGTGTCCTCGTCCAAACCGCTCGCGACAGGCATTGGCCTCGCATCTCAACAGCGAAACCTTCCCTCGAGATTCACCCACGGCGTTCTCTGCACAAGGTGACATTTACGATGGACGAATGTTTCAGCCCCTTCTCGGTCTGGGGCTGGGTGAAGGCCACCCCCACCCCTCCCCCATGCCCGTGTTGGTCACGAGAGTTGCACGACTAAACTTCGCCAGACCGTTGTGGGGTTCGTGGGTGAAGAGGAGGGAGGTGGGGGAGAGGCGCTGTAAGAAAACTATCGTTATTATCCCAGGTAAGGTCCACTGAGTTATGCAACTTTTTTTCAGAGGCGACCTGGCCACAGATGATGTCTCAACGAAGCGGCTTATCATCACGTGGACATTTCTAGCAGGCAAATACTCCAAACGCACGTTTCTGTGTGTGGAGGGGAAAACCTGGTGGACCCGGAGAAAAATCCACGCGACCACGGGAAGAGAGGCCACGCAAACTTCAAATGTACAGGCGTCGTCAGGGTCGGGATCGAACCCACGATTAACCCCCCCCCCCACCAAGAGCATCAGGATCGAATATTTAATAAACGAAGGGGTAATTTACAAGCAGCGGTAACCGCTGACCGGGGCGGCGGCAGCATCAGCAGCAGCATATATAAATACATACCGCTGTTTTAAACCGAGCCACGGTAAACAAAGGGGAGGCGTCCTCTCAGCAGACGAGTATAAATAAACCGCGTGTGTACGGAGCAATGCACGAGTCTCTGTCTTTGTCTGCAATCGCCTGGCGGCCCGCGTCAACAAACCCGGACGCGTGGAGCAGCGGTCTGCCTCGTGGTGCCGGCAAGCGATGTCCGCGCACGGCCGCGCAGCTTCCCCGGGCGGCACTTCTACCGCCGTGACGCCAGACCAGAACTTCCCAAGGCTGCTCATCGCGGGTTGGCAACGGCGTTGGCAGCACGCGTTGGAGCGCGGTGCGGCACAACCGTGGGTGTCGCGGCACCGATGGATTTAATGCGCTTCGCATGCCTTTCGCAAGCAACGCTCCGATTCGTTTACGGTCATTTGAATCATATATTTGTTTGTGTTTGGGAGGCTCAGAAGGCGTGAGTAAAACGCGTCTCGCAAAATAAAAATGCTCCTCCACCCGACACGGCCAATCAATGAAATTTGTCACGTGAACAAAACCGATGTTTCACGCGTGCCGTGTTTACACCCCGCTGAGCATGTGCGGATCGCTGTCCAGTAACCGGTGGTGCTGAAGCAGCAATACACTCGCAGGTTTGTTCATCACGTGGATACTTTATTAATTGGCTGTGTCGAGGTGGAGGAGGGTCTTACAACACACATTGTACTCGCGCGATCTGACTCGCGAATACACAAAAAAACCACACAAACCCCAACGACGAATGAGCCGAGAGCACGTGCCGGTGTTCTCTGTTGCTGGACCCATCCAAACGCTGTCCCGGGCCCAAACGGCTGACGGGGGAACGGGGAGTCGTGGGCGAACAGAAGGAGTCGGCCTCACGGGGAAGAGAGCGGGGATCATGGGGAAGATTCACCCCATCTGCACGATACATCTATAAAACTGGTCTTTATTTTACCAGGTGAGGCCTCAACTGAGCTATTTAGCTCTTTCTTCAGAAGCAACCTGCGTATCACAAATGATAGCTCAACGAAGTGGCTTATCGCGTGGACATTTATTGCAGCCAAATACTCGACGCGCGTGGTGTTTCTAAATGTGGAGGGAAAAACCGGAAGACCCGGAGAAAAATCCACGCGACCACGGGGAAAGAGAGACATGCAAACTCCAAATGGGCTGCCCAAAAGTAAAACTCTTTGCAGAGCTAGCATTGATCGAAAACAGGTTCCCCCATGCCGTATTGGTTGTTCGACCATACTTCACCATACGGGCCAGTGCGGGTTGGTTGGTGAAGCGGGGTGGGGGTCAGGGAACCCAACTCTCGCCGCAGTGCCGAGATGTTAACTACCTCGCCTGGTATACAGGAGGCCATGGGTTCAATCCCAACCCTGACGCCTGCTGTATATTTGGAGTTTGCATGTTTTCTCCGGTGGTCACGTGTATTTTTCTCCAGGTCCTCCGAGTTTTCTCTCCACATTCGGAAGCATGGGTTTCTAGGATGTGACTGCTCTACATGTCCACGTGATAAGCCACTTGGTTGAGCTATCACTTGTGAAAGCCAGGTCGCTTTTGAAATAGAGCGATACGGCTCAGTGGGCCTTGCCTGCTAAATAAATAGTTTATTGTTGTATTGTTTTTAGAAGTGGATGCCGAGTTAATGTCATATTGCAGTGGGCTAACCGCTGCGCCACCACTCTTCATCCCTCGGATAAGAACCCTGCAGAACCTCCACGCCCCCGACAAACCACACGGAGTACACCCCCCCCCCACCTTCTCGATCTCGCAATGTTATTGGTATTTATTATTAATTACTTATTTCTTTGTACTCCCCTCGGTCCAAGACAGCAGCGGGTCCAGGAGCGAGGGCGTTGGTGGCTCGCGCGCTCCGCCAGCCACGCGGCAAGAGGCGAGGCACCGCAGCCGGGCGAGCTCCACGTGGTGCCCCCCCCCCCCCCCCGGTGGTTTAGTGGCGGGCACCGCGGCGGCACGAGACAAAAGGCCGCGACACGCCGTGACAGATGCGCCGCTCGCGCCCAACCGCCGCCGCCCGCGAGCCCGCGAGCCCCTCCCCCGGACCGAGCCCCATGGCGCTCCCTTCTGATCGCGAGCGCGATTCGTCACCAGTCTCCAGACTGCCGCCGCAACGAGTGAAGGAAGCCACCGCGCGGAAGAGACGAGAGGCCCAGGGGGACAGATGCGGAGAGAGAGGTGGGGGAGAGAGGTGGGGGAGAGAGGTGGGGGGGAGAAGTGGGGGGGGGGGGGGGATAAGTGGGGGGGGGGGGTGGGGGAGCGATTGCCCCCTCCCCCACCTCACTCCCCCCACCTCACTCCCCCTTCCTTTGAGACTCTACAAATTAATACTTACCAGAGAGGGTACGCGGAATGGGTTGCTTGTTTTTATAATCGCGTGAGGCTTTGACGCTTTGGGACTGCCCCTTGCTCTTGGGAAGTCGACGAATCAGCCTGCGGAAGAGGGAAGAACAAAGCAGGAGATCGAAGCCGTGCAGACGGGAATCGTGCGAGCAAGCCACACGGGACAATCCCGTCTACCCAGCTCACCGTGGGAGTGGAGGTTGATTAAAACTCTTCCATTTCAGGATATTCTGCTCGGGCGCGGCCGAAGCGGTAAAATAACACACACACAGCGTTTACTAAAAGAAAACACACAATGACGCCTATCTGAATGTATAGTCACACCATCATCCCACACAGAAATCCTCTCTCATCGAAACGCTCATACATCGAGCTGAGAAAGCATCAGATGGTGAAAGTCTGAGAAGTTAAATTAAACATGTTAAAGAAGCGCTGCAATTGAACGATTACAATGATGCACAAATCAACAGGGCACTGAATGCCAAAACCAAATCAAAGAGCACACGCGTTGAAATTGATCAAGCAATTAAATATAATGAATACATTGTGGGAGTAAATATAATGAATACATTGTGGGAGTAACTGATAAACTAGCCAGATGTTTGGAAAAACAAAATATCCGAGTGAGATTTGGCACGGTACATAAAATACAAACACTAATACCTGGTCCTAAAGATGTATTACCGAAGCAATCATCTGAAGGTGTGTGTAATGTAGCTCTCTTGTTCAGCTATACAGTAAAATCTTGTATTGCGAGCATAATTCGTTCCGGAAACGTGGTTGTAATCCAAAGCACTCGTATATCAAAGCACTCGTATATCAGTTGTGATCACGTGACGCTCGGCAGACAAAGCGTAAACACGTACTACTCGTATTGCAAGACCTCATTCGTTTATCAAATTAATATTTATTTAAAATGTTTGCTCGTCTTGCAAAACACTCGCAGACCAAGTTACTCGCAATCCAAGGTTTTACTGTATGTATATTTATTATGAATAAAGTCCGCCGACTCACTGCTAACGAGTAACCGCGAGTGACGATATACACTTGGGTAACTTAGGTAACTCTATTTTGAGACAACATAACTCTCGCCTTCCAAGACTACAAGATGCCCACTCTAGGACGATGAAGACGACACGCTCCGAGTTGACGACGGTGACGGCAGTTCCCCCACAACAGCAGCCCAGAGCCCCGGTTCACGCCGACTTTTATCCCCCTCACGACCCGGCCACACCCCTATTCCCGAACCCTCTCTCACCGCACCTGGCCCTGTCCGTCTTTGCCCTTATTACAATTTAAGACCGTTAGGTCCCCGTGCTTCTCTTCACTCGACCCTGTCAACGCTTGTCCCAACAATCATTATTAGCGACCACTTAGGTCCCACATTACCCTAACGTGACCCCGTCTAATCTAAATTTGAAGTTTTCGTGACTGCAGGGATCCATACTCTTTGGTTCTTTCGGTAAAGTCACGTAGGTATACAATTTAATAAATTAAATCACGACGTTTCGGGTGCAACACAAGCGTCCGTCATCAGGTGGGACAACCACAGCAAGAAACAATTGCTGAAGTGGGCAAAAGGGCTGCTATAACAGGAGGCTATATAGGTAAGAGAGGGGGGTGGAGCAAGGGGGGAGAGATAGAGAGGGGGGGGGGGGGTAGAGGGAGGGGAGTGCTGCAGTGAGCGGGGCTGGGAGTGGGAAGCTGAAGAAGCTGGAGGTGCGGGGTATGAAGGCAACACCATGAAGCAGTTAAGGTTTTACCTGGTTAATAACATCCTTCCCTGTGGAAGAGATACGTGGATGATACTTTCGTCATTTGGCAACATGGCCTCCCAGCATTGAACCAATTTCTGGATCACATCAACTGCATGCACCCATCCAACAAATTCACCATGGGAGTGGAGAAGGATGGTAAGCTACCATTCCTGGATGTTTTGTTTGAGAGGAGACCCAATGGCTCTTTGGGACATTCTATCTACAAGAAGGCTACCCACACGGATTCCTACCTAAAAACTAATTTCCACCACCATCCGGCACAGAAGAATTCCCTCATCAAAACGCTATACCATAGGGCCCATTGCATCTCTGACCAACACCACCTGGCCAGTGAATTGGAACATGTACATCGTGCCCTCAAGATGAACGGATACTCGGACCGTGCTATGCGCCAAGCTGTTTCTCCCACCGCGGAGAACCAACCCCCGGAGACTCCGATCAAGATCATTACTTTGCCATACATAGCAGGCGTGACCAAAAATATCTCCAAAATTCTAAACAAACACAAGATCCAGGCTCGATTCAGTACAGTACACAAGATCCGTGATCTGATCCCATCCGTAAAGGATGTCATTCCTGACTTGCAGTACCCTGGTGTCTACAAACTGAGTTGCACTTGTGGGGATTGTTATATCGGGGAAACGAAACGACATATCTCTGATCGCATTCGCGAGCACAAGTCGGATTTGAAACATGGCAGAACGAATTCTTCTGCCGTAGCTGACCACTGTTGTAATACTGCTGGTTCTCATGACATTGTGTTCTCCGATACCAAGGTACTCTGTAAACCTCCAGGTTACTACCAAAAATTTGTCCATGAGGCCATCCAGATATACAGACATAACTTCAACCGAGATGATGGATTCAGATTGAGCAATCATTGGAAGGATGTAATTAACCAAGTCAAACGTTAGCTGCCGTGCAGTTTACTGCTAGACAGCCAGTTTAGATGTAATTGTCATAAACATATCAATATCCCCAGCCTGTTACCTCCAGCTTCACACACTGCCATCACCATTACCACACGCTGTTGTTTACGTCTTCTTTAGCTTAGCTTATGCATCTATGAAGCCACCTAGATACACAAACACAGACATAGCTTCAACCGAGATGATGGATTCAAACTGCTCTTGTCAGCTTAAATACTGCCTCCGCTTTTTTAACTGTGTTCATGTGCGTAATATTTTCAACCACGGCACACTTCTCTCCGCCTACCCGCTCATCCGTCCTCCAAATCCCCTGCAGAATAACAGAAGTATAACTTAGCCCCCCATCCTGGCTCCCCCCCCCTTAACCTGTATATATTCTCGTGTCTCTTAGAGCTCTCTTCACTTGATACAGTAATTTTGCTGTGACGGTTCCACCTGAAGACGGAAGCTTGTGTTGCCTCCGAAACGTCGTGATTTAATTTATTAAATTTTTTTACCTACGTGACTTTACCAAAAAAAAACAAAGAGTATGCAATCATAAATACCCATTGAAATGTATATTAATGCATTAACCCCCCCCCCCCCCACTCTCTGGTCCTCGCACCTGATTGGCTCACAAGTGATGACATCACACTTACCCCCCTCTAATTAAGACCTAAACAGGAGGAGGATTTCTCCACACTTCTGGCTGTCGCCTGATGATGCTCGTTGTAATTATCGGCGAAACGTCACGGAACCCCAATTGTAAACATTGTGGGTTTACTCTCCAACACACCGGTGTGCTGAACCGGTAACGAATTCTCACCTTTTGTTTACGTGACAAACCTTACTAAATGGCTGTGTCGGATGTTGTTGGGTTTAACGACGCATTTATATTTACACGATCTAAGAATAAAACACCTCTACTGTGAACACACACAAACATTAAGAGCGCACACACACAGGGTGGACCCCAACGAGCCCAGTCGTGATTGCGACCACGAGATGGGCCCTCCCATCGCGCCTCGCTAGGCAAGCGGACCGCATGGCCACGCGGCGTGGGCAAGGCACGGACAGAGGCCTGGGTGTGAACCGCCACGTCGACAGCGTCGAGGTCTGTGGCCGCGTTCATTTAAACAGCGGCGGCGGCGGCTGGACCGTTGAAACAATTGTACAGCAGTTTCATCCTTGCTGGGAATCATCAGCGCAGCGTGACCATCATAAGGGGTAGTGAGTCGGGCCTGGATCCAGATCAGCCTGGATGGCCAGGTGAAGGAGAGCTGTTGTGTGAAAATAAAATAAAAGGTTTTACCCTTTCTGGCAATAAAACAGGAGGTTTTTTTTAAATGTTCAAACACGAAGTAGATACATTTTGCAAGGAATCAAGTCTGCATGACGCACACGTACTTGTGGTGAGCATGCACACACACATGCTCTGATCATTATAAATGCGTTGTCCTTGAACCCGAGTGGCCTAAACCAGAGACAGCCTTCCGTATGGCTGTGACCCACCAGCGTCAGATCAGAGCATGTCTAGCTCGGGTTGAGCAGCTGTATCATATACATATCAGCAGCTACATGGAGCTGTTGTGTGGAGGACCATGATAACAGAAGCGCTCCGCAGAGTGAGGTTGGCTGGGTAGTTGATTGGTTAAACTATGAAGTTTTTTATTTTTATTTTACCAGGTAAGGCCCACTGAGCGATATAGCTCTTTTGCAGAAGCGACCAGTCCATAAATGATATTCTAGATTTGAAGCTTTTGTAACTGAAAGGATTCATACTCTTAGGTTTTTTCGGTAAAGTGACGTAGATAAAAATAAATAGGAATAAATATAATATAAATAATAATAGAAATAAAATAATAAATCACGACGTTTCGGAGGCAACACAAGTCTCCGTCATCAGGTGGGACCGTCACAGCCAGATTTACCTTGATACAGTAATTGAATTTACCGAAAAAACCTAAGAGCACAAACGATATCTCAACGAAGTGGTTCATCACGTGGAAAGTATCGTCGATTCTAAATGTGGAGGGAAAAACCGGAGGACCCGGAGAAAAATCCACGCGACCACGGGGAGAGAGAGACACGCAAACTCCAAATATACAGCAGCAGCAGGCGTCAGGGTCGGGATCGAACCCACGACCTCCTGCATACCAGGCGAGGTAGTCAACATCTCACGACAGGCTAAAGGAGACCCAGAACCAGCTCGGATATCAACCCGGGAAGTCGGGTTGATGAGGGCAGTCCGCTAACCACTGCGCACCGCTCTCCACACGCACACACACACACACAAGACAAAGATCCCCCGTATAGCCTTTACAGAGGTTTGGGGCAAGTTCTGTTAGCGAGTAGCACCTATCAAGGCCGGCACTGTGGCACACGAAAGGGTGGGTGGCAGGCA